GTACATAATGAAAATGCTGGAATGGGAAGGAAAACTAGAATACTCAAAGGAAACACAAGAGCGAGAAGAGAACCTCTACAAGATAAGTGTGAAACAAAAGGAGTTCAGTGTGAACAGGGAAGGACAAAGCTACTAAAAAAGGAGGTAAACCTTGAAACATTGCTAAGGCTGACGGAGCAATCCCTGACGGGCTTCCAAAATATCAATGAAGGTTGGGGTGTGGAACCGTCGAGGTGCAGGGAGCCCTTGACAGTTCCCCAACTCAAGGAGGTAATACATCTTCACTCCCCTGGAGTTTTATTTCTGTGTGAAACAAAAAATCAAAAAAAGTTTATGGAAAATGTAAAAAAGAAGTTAAATTTTGACGAAAGTGCATAGTAGACTCAGTAGGCAAATCTGGAGGGTTAGCATTGTTTTGGAAACACTATCAGATAATAGAGACTGTGATAGAACGCCAATTTAGCATTAATTTTGTTATAATTTCCTTTTCTTATTAGATTGGATATTGTATTAATGGACATATTTTGTTTGAATTTTATGTTTAGGGGATGTTTAGCCAATTAGAGAAGGGAAGTGCAGAAATAGCAGTTTTTAGAAGATTTTCCTCCAAGTAGGTGTGGACACGTGAGAAGACATCAATCAAGTCCGAAGTGCACGGAATTCTATGCAGGGCAATATCCTAATCCAAGTGGGAGTCGTCATCATAGCCGGAATATGATATTATCTGCCAAGTTTCTAATTAGTAATTGGGTTGGTTTAGGAGACTTTTAAGCGTTTAAGTACCTATCTTTTAGGAAGTTAGTTTTCCTATAGTAGGAGATTTTTTTTGGAGCCAATTACTACGGATTGTGAGGGAGAAAGTTCGATGTGTTTTAGAAAGCTAGAAAATAGGAAGAGCAAAAGCCGGATTCCGCGTGATTACTACTCGGCCAAGGAATAAGAAAAGGAGAGGACGGCAGCCACTTGGCTCTCTTCTCCTCTGAGTAGTTCTTCTATTGTCAAACATTGATGCAATTTCCTTCAGTGGAATTGCGTGTGTTACTCTCAATGAGGATGAACTAATCACCCACTTCTAGTCAAGGAGACAATTGAAGATTTGGTTCAACAATAACTGTGAGATCTAAATTGTTTTAACTATTTCCTTCATTTATTAGTATTTGTATGCTTTCTGCCTTTAAGTGTCATAGCTATTGTGTATGATTGAATAGTGCACATTATTTAATTATTCACGTAGTTAATTTGCTAATTGGGGGTAGTTGAATCCATAATTGTTCGATTACTTCCATCCCGGTAGCAACTGGCATAATTGGATTTATATCAGGAAAACATACGATCTAATTTAAACAAACCCTCATAGCGTGTTTGTTAGTTAAGATTGGATTTTTCTAGTTCTTAATGCAATCCAGAAATTAAATTCTATATTCTTACCTAGGGTTATTTCTAGGTTAGAGAAATAGTTAACGGTCGTACCTTGACTATCGAAAAAGTAAGGAAAGACTGGTTGTTTATCGCGTATGACAGTTATAACCAATCTATTAATAATTGTTGGAATTATATTTGAATCGATGATCAGTTGCATGAACCATTTCTGAAGTATACCCTTGGCTAGAGCTTCTCCAATTATTTCTCTTAATTAATTATTTTTCGCATTTAATTTGTTTAGTTAGTGATTCTTTAGCATCTAATTCTCAAAACCCTCGTTTGTCTTGGCTTAAAAAGAAATGAACTTTTCCCCAATACCTGAGAAGACGACCCTACTTGCCACTATCTACTAGTTATAATTTCGTCAATTAGTCAATTATGGTATATCGGATTAAGCACACTCTTCGGAACCAAGGTGAATCAAGTAACCCATTGCACATCTAGAGTCTCTGCTCCAGTACCTGAAATTGATTATTGACTGCTTTTGATAGTAGTTAGGTTTTTATTATTATTGCACAGGCACGACACCTGTCAAATTGAGCTTTCTAGTTTTACATTGTTGCTCGTATTCTGGATATAGAGGCAAGATGTGAATGAAATTTTATTGGAATATATGCCAGTACGGATAATGGAAAACGAAGAATGCAGTGGAGAGAGTTAGAGAGTAAAATGAACAAATGGGGTGAGAAATGGATCAGAGCAGGAGCTTTTAATGATATCCTATCAAATGGGGAGAAGTGGGGGGGAAAGACAAAGACCTGAGAGCAGCTTTGCTGATTTTAGGTGGCTAGGTAATGGGAATAATCTAGTAGATATAGGATATGAAGGAAAGCCTTGGACTTGGAGTTCACATTGGGATGGTTACGAGATAAGACAAAGACTAGATAGAGTTCTAGCAAATCAGGAATGGTGTCAAAAGTTCGAAACAACAAAGTGCATGCATATAGAAAAAGAGGCATCTGACCATAGTATGATTATGATAGACACAATGCCAAGGAGAAGGAAGGCAGGAGGAAGGTTTCATTTTGATAAAAGATGGGCTCAAAACTAGCACATCCAGGAACTAATCAGCAGAGCCTGGGATGAACCCTAAAAAAGAAAAAAAATGTTCAGATTGACAAGGAAGGTAAAGAGTTGTAAAACAACTCTGATAGAATGGAGTAAGGAGAATAAGACCAATTTTGGGAAAGAGATCAAGTCTTTAAAGTAGCAGATCCTGGCAGCCAAGAATGGTGAGTATGAAAAGAACAAGGGGCTTATTGCTGATTTGAAACTGAAGCTAAGTCAGGCTTACAAACAAGAGGAGCTGTATTGGGCACAAAAAGCAAGATGCCACTACAACAAAAATGGCCTTTCCTGACATGTCTATAAGGACACTTGTTGGTTTGTGTTGTTATAGCAAACGTATCATGACACTTATTAATAAACTCAATAATATGTACTATAATTTTTTTATTTTAGCATGATATAAAAGTAATATTGTGCCTTTAGACTACCTATCATGACACTCGAAAAAATGTGAGATGAAAAAAAAAAGAAAGAAAACGACATCGTTTATTTTGGCTCCAAAACACTTGGTAAAGTACTCTGAAGTTTCATTTTGCCGGCAAAAGGATTTGGTGAAAATTTTATTCTTCTCATCTCTCTCACCTCTTCACATACAACCATTTTCATCTTTACGGGCCTCAACTTTAAATCCATCGGCTAAGACATCTGGAAGGGCAGGCAGGGAGTAAAATTAGAAGATCGGAGCTGTACATTGGAAAAGTTGGAAGATACCTCAGGCGCGCATATGTTGTTCCAAAATCGAAGTGGTAAACACAATGAAGCTCTGTTGCCCAAATCCTGTTCGATAAAATGTCAATTCCTCCCTGTTTTTTATTTTTTTCTGTGAATCTCCTTTAATGTTAGCTAAGAATGTTGCAGAATCCATCAGTTGAATGAAATCAGATTTATACTACATTGCAACTGTAACAAACTGTTAGTGGAAGCTACCATTTTTCAGGGTCGGTATATGCAGCTATGCACCTCTCATTTTTTTAATCTTAATTAGCAAAACCAACCAATTCCATTTAGAGAATGGTATTTCCGGTAAGGATATGTGGAGAGTGCATTGGTGGATTCTGAAGAAGAAAAAAAGGATGTGTGCTGCATTTGTTGGTTTATCAGAAAGTAATCATTGTCGTATATAAAATCTATTAAGATATCCTCATCAACTACTGAATGCATGCCCTCCCATTGCTTCCACTTGCCCTGGTCCCCAAAGTTTTCATCTTTTTAAGGGTGGCCCGGCATTCTATTAAAAAATGATGGTACCTCTATGACTACACTGCACTTTCATTTCAGAAGACTTAGGTTTTTGGTTAGATGATTAGATAACTTGGCATTTCCTCATGCTAAGAGTACTTTCAGAGCAAAATCTGACTCGTGCCTTTAGCATTTTAAGAAGTTTAATAGAAAACTATGAACTAATCTGGAATTATTAGCACAATGAATCCAAGGTAGCTAGGTTAATAACATGTACAAAATCTTGATCATTATACATTTGCTAATTTGCCAGTAATGATCAGTCAATAGATACAGAAGTGACAAAAAAGATATTAGTGTTGTAGAGGTGACCTTTGCTGCCTTTTGGCTTTGCCACAAAGGTGGTCCTCCGGCTAAGTGCATATTTCACCCAACGCTATCACTTATATGACTATTACTTTTTTCTATGTTAAATTCTATGTAATACTTGCATCTTTATAGCTTTTTTCTGTTTTAAATTGTATGTGTAATCAGTACGCGAGTTGCTTGAAATATATAGTATAACAGTTGTACTAATTGTCTTCTGCACTTGATCAGTCTATTATAGTGCAAATTTTGAGCCCAAAAAAGGTGACTTTTAGATTAATAAGACAGAGACATGGATGCACTTGGGTTGAAGTTTTTTGACATGTTCATAAGGATCTTCATGGGCAGGATTAGAAGCTAGGGGACTTTTCTGTCATTCGTTTTTTTCAATTACCTATGCCATCAGTTGCATGCCTTTCTAAAGAGATGACTTATAAAATTAATCACTACACACCAGAGATGTATGTATACTTTGATGGAAATTTAGTAAAATTCTTGAATTTCACCTTTCGTCTTCACGCTCATGTGTTTGTTTATCCGTTGACATTTCAGATTGACCTTAGGAATTTTGCGAAGACGCGAGCGCAGGAGTTGGTACAAAGAGCTTTGTTCTGTTATTAGGTAAATAAAATAGCTTCCAAAGAGCTTGCAAATTCTGTTTTTACTGATTGTTGAGAAATTTTGCATTTTGTTGATTTCCTTTATTTGCTAGCTGCTTGATTTAGTAGACTATAAATTCTTGAACTTGAAATTAGGGACTTGTAAGCCACGACCTGAGTTTAAAAAGTAGGCTATTGGAAGCTCATTGGAGGACATTTATTTATATTAAAAGTATGGATAAAAGTTGGATGGATTTTCCAAGAACAAGTGAAAAGTACGAGACAGGACTTCAAATGTTTCTAAACTTCGCAATTTCTAGATCAAGTTGTGACGGAATGATTTTGTGTCCTTGCAAAGATTGCGGCATGGGTGTTTGTGTGACTAAAATGGAAGCATATGATCATTTGAAAGTGGTAGGATTTATCAAGGGTTATAATAATTGGATAGCACATGGAGAACTTTCAAACTACAATGAAGCCACATCTAATTCTAAAAATACATCAATTGGGGTTTCAAATGGGACTAATGACATGCAAGACTTGGTCCATGATGTATTTGGGATACCACATGGAACAAATGAATTGAATAGAGAAGGGGACATTCCTGTTTCAGAGGCTGAAAAATTTTACAAATTGATTGATGATTTTCAACAGGATTTGTACAATGGTTGCAAAAATTTCTCGAAGTTGTCTTTCATTATTCGTTTGCTTCACCTAAAATGCCTTGGTAAGATGAGTAACAAGATTTTTAATATGATTGTTGAGCTGTTGAGAGAAGCATTTCCGGAGGCCATGACTAATTTGCCTTCTTCTTACTATGAGGCTGAGAAATTGACGAATACATTGGGATTGGGTTATGAAAAGATCGATGCATGTCCTAATGATTGTTCTGTTTATTGGGTAGTGCTGAAAAAAGAACTTCATGTGAAACATGTAACGAGCTTAGGTGGGTTGTTTCAGAAAATGATCCAACTAGGGAAAAAAGGAAAATTCCTCAAAAATTGTTGTGGCATTTTCCCTTAAAACCTGGATTACAAAGACTATTTATGTCTTCTAAAATTGCATCTCAAATGAGATGGCATGAGGAAAAACGTACAAAAGATGGTTGTATGAGACATCTAGCTGATTCTCCAGCTTGGCAAACTTTTGACCATCTACATCCAGAATTTGCTAAGGATTGTCGAAATGTTAGATTGGGGTTGGCATCTGACGGGTTTAATCTAGCTGATTCTCCAGCTTGGCAAACTTTTGACCATCTACATCCAAAATTTGCTCAGGATTGTCGAAATGTTAGATTGGGTTGGCATCTGACGGGTTTAATCCATTCAACAACATGAGTTCTACACACAGTACTTGGCCTGTGGTTTTAATACCATATAACTTACCTCCGTGGATGTGTATGAAGCAACCGTATTTCATGTTGTCCTTGTTAATACCCGGACCATCCTCTCCTGGGAATAATATTGATGTTTATCTACAGCCTCTAGTTAAAGAACTAACCGAATTGTGGGATTTTGGCATTCAAACTTATGATGCATCCCAAAAAGAAAATTTACAACTGCATGCGGCTCTATTGTGGACCATTAGTGATTTTCCTGGATATACAATGTTATCTGGGTGGAGCACTAAAGGTGAATATGCTTGTCCTGTTTGTCACAAGTTCACTTATGCACGACGGTTGACTCATAGTTTCAAATATTGCTATATGGGTCATCGAAGATTCTTAGATAGTAAATATAAATTTAGAAAGCAAGTCCAATTCTTTGATGGCACCGAAGAATATGGAAAGCAACCACCTTTGCAAACTGGGGATATGATTGTGAGTGAATTGGGAGACTTGCAAATTAAATTTGAAAAACTTGTGAAAGGTAATCCGAATCTGCCTTTTAATTGGAAAAAGAGGAATATTTTCTTTGACTTGCCATATTGGAAAGATAATGTCTTAAGACACAATCTTGACTTCATGCACATTGAGAAAAATGTTTGTGAAAACATTTGGGGGACATTGCTGGATATTGAGGATAAAGCAAAGGACCATTATAATTCTCGCTGTGATTTGAGAGAAATGGGAATAAGAAAAGAGCTGCATTCCATTGAGACAGAACCTGGAAATGTGTACTTACCTCTATCTTTCTTTGCAATGGATAAAAAACAGAAAACTATGTTTTGCAATGTGCTAAAAAAGGTGAAAGTTTCAGATGGTTATGTAGCTAACGTCTCAAGATGCGTTCGAGTAAAACCACCAAGAATTTCAGGGCTTAAAAGTCATGATTAATCATATCCTAATGCGGCAATTGATGCCTATAGCTTTGAGAAAGACTTTGCCAAAATCAGTGCGCTATCCTTTGATTCGATTGAGTAGATACTTCAGGCAGCTTTGTTCTAAAGTTATTTGTCCTCAAGATGTGGTTCGTTTGGAAAGTGAAATTGCCGTTATACTCTGCGATCTTGAGAAATGCTTCCCACCAACCTTCTTCGATGTCATGGTGCATTTAGTTGTTCATTTGGCAACTGAAGTGAAATTAGGTGGCCCGGTGCATTATCATTGGATGTATCTCGTTGAGAGGTACTGCTTGTAATTCTCATTATGTCTTAAATGTTTATCACTCGATTTTGCTTTCTTTGATTTGTGGAACTAATTAGAGAGTTTGGAATGATGATACTTTAGGTACTTAGGAACATTAAAATCTTATGTTCGAAATAAAAGTAGGCCTGAAGGTTCGATTGCTCAAGGCTACTTGGTAGAAGAATGCATTAACTTTTGTCATTGTATCTTGCGGACTATGTTGAGACAAAATTCAATCGTCCAAATAGAAATGAAGAAATACATAAGGAAATTGAAGATGGTTTAGATATATTCTGTGAATCAGGACATCCTTTGGGGAGGGGCAAGCCAACAGTCTTTGATGCTCATATCTTGAGTAAAGCACATCAGTATATTTTATTTAACTGTGATGCTATCACACCTTACATAGAGTAAGTTCAACTACAACTTGATGCATTAAAATTTTATTGTAGAATTGAATGTATGATTACAATATTGACTCATGTACTTCTAGGCAGCATCGTAGATTGATAGAAGAAGAACATCCTCAAGTTCCACAACACCTAAAAGAGTGCTTGCACAGCAAAAATTTTGCTTGTTGGTTTGCTGAACATGTAAGTAAAATTCTGAATATTAAGTACAATTTGAATTGTAGGACTTCAAAAATAGTTTCATCTTCCTTTTTTTTTACAGATTGACAAGTTAGAACTTCCTCAAAATGTTTCGGTGTTGAGAGACTTGAGGTTCCTTGCTAAAGATCCAGATGTTGTTGGAATCCAACATGATAGGTACGTTGTTAATGGATTTCGGTTTCACACCAACGAAGTTGAGAAGAAAAGAAAAAACGCAGAATAGTGGTGTTACAGTCAATGCAACAACATCCAGTTTTGCAAGTATAAGGGATCAAAATCCAGTTTTGAGTGAACTAGTTTACTTCGGCGTCTTGAAAAATATGATTGAAGTAATTTACGGAGGTCGTCGGGTGGTGTTATTCGAATGTGATTGGATATCAAATGGTTCGAGAATGAAACAAGATGCTGATGGGTTTACTTTAGTCAATTTTGCAAACGTGAGGCCTCATGTTGAGCCATTTATACTCGCTTCACAAGCATCACAAGTTTTATATGTGGAAGATCCAACTGATAAGGATTGGCAAGTGGTTATCTCTACCACTGCAAGAGCTGGATATAACATGGGCACAACCATGGATGTTGAGACATATTTGCAAAGTGATGTTGGCAATCCTGTTGTGAGAATGAAAATGAGGAAATTAGTTGGGTTCGTGAGGATGGACTTGGGATTGAAGTTGATTTGTCCCAATATAATCTGATTTAGAATCTTTTATAGCTTTAAAGCTTACTGGCCATATTCTTCTCTATTTCAAATGCTAGGCCGAGGCTTTATTTCCTTTTGTCGATGGGTTTTGCATTTTTTTTGTATTTTACTAATATGACCGACATTCTTAGTTTTGAAGGCCACTGTCAAAAACTGTGAGGTTTAATGTGCTGAAGATGATTCCAGCAGGCGACTCCTGGGGTATTAGTTAAAACTTGTGTATTAGTTTGCCTCTTCAAGGCTTAAATTTTTATACTCCCATGGACCAGTCTTATTCATAAAAATGGTATTGGAATGATTTTTCTTTTAATGGCATGAGAACAATTGGCAACTGAGGCTATGATTTGGGGAGAACAATTGGCAACGTACGGAATTGCAACTCATGGTGTTTATTCAAGCATCTGCCATACACCATACATGGCCTAAATTCTAGTCTTGGTTATTATTTTTGATAATAAGAATAATCATTTCTTTGTTTTGTTGTTTAAACTTTTGAGTGGAAGATATAATGCAATTTTTGCAAATCAATTCAGACCAAACATAAAACAACCCAACTTTTCAAGGAACCCATTACTAGTTTTAAGAGCCCAATGGGCTGGATAAATACTGGTCATTATTTTATAAGCAATTCCATTAATTGTAAGCTATAATATTAATCTAGTGAATCATTATATTATGGCCAATTCTTTTTCCCAATAACCGAGGTCTAATTTTTGATCAATAGAAATATTTTGAAACTTTAATCTATAAATTTCTAAAATTATTTTTTAAAATTATTTTTTAAACCAATAACGATACAAAAAGTTAATTCCGATAGAGCTTTCTGGTCCAACTGATCTTTGATCGAATGTAATCGGTTTAGTCGAAATTTTGGATTATCCATCAAAGTGACTGGAGGCACGATCGAACCAATCAAGCATGATCGGATCGATCAAACCGATCATACTGATCAAACGTTGTTATTGCACATTCTGTATCCTCCATAACTAATCTTTGATTGAAGGTTGTTCAGTTTAATTGAATTTTTGGATTAACCATTAAACAAGACTAGAGACACGATCGAACTGATCAAACCGATCATTCCGAACTTGGATTGTTATTGCATATTATGTCCACTCCATAACTGATATTTGATCGAGTTTAATCGGTTTAGTCGAAATTTTGGATTAACCGCCCAACTTTGAATATATATATATATATATATGTTCAATCAATGCTTTGTAATTGTTTAACAGCTTCTAATTGACACAAAGTTGAACGGCAATTGCTTTGGAATTGAAAACATTGAATATATATATATGTATATATATATGTTCAATCAATGCGTTGTAAGTGTAAGCCTAAGGTTTATCAGTGAAAAGTTCAATTTTAAGATCTTGTAAGTGTTTAACAGCTTCTAATTAACACAAAGTTGAACGGCAATTGCTTTGGAATTGAAAACATTGAATATATATATATGTTCAATCAATTCTAATCCCAATGTTTATCAGTGGAAAGTTCATGTATTCACAAGTTAATTTTCTTGTTCCATAAACTAATTCGATCCTTCTAATGGCTTGTTAGACTACAAGCCGTACATAACTGCTAGCAGCATAAAATAAATTGAGTACCGAAAACATTTTGATTAAAAAATGTTTTTTGTTAGCTTCTCAAAATTTTTAATTATTTTTATATTTTTAGTTGTTATATTATATTGTATATAGCTTTAACAAAATTTTATTGTTATATTTTTAGTTGTTATATAGCTTTAACAAAATATTTAGTTGTTATATTATATTGTATATAGCTTTAACAAAATTTTACCCTTTTTTTGTTTATATTATATTGTATATAACTTTAACCAAATTTTTATTTGTTATATTTTTAGTTGTTATATAGCTTTAACAAATTTTTAGTTGTTATATTGTATTGTATATAGCTTTAACAAATTTTTAGCCTTTATATTTTTAGTTGTTATATTATATTGTATATAGCTTTAACCAAATTTTTATTTGTTATATTTTTAGTTGTTATATAGTTTTAACAAATTTTTTATTTATATTGTATTGTATATAGCTTTAACAAAATTTTTAGCCTTTATATTTTTAGTTGTATTATATTTATTGTATAGAGCTTTAACAAAATTTTTAGCCTTTATATTTTTAGTTGTTATATTATATTGTATATAACTTTAACCAAATTTTTAGTTGTTATATTATATTGTATATAGCTTTAACAAAATTTTTAGCCTTTATATTTTTAGTTATTATATTATATTGTATATAACTTTAACCAAATTTTTAGTGTTATATAGCTTTAACAAAATTTTGCCCAAACACACAAAAATCGTCATTAGTAGCGCGGCAAATTGAAAAATTCAAAAGGCTTGACTAATTTACTTTGGCGTCATTAGTACCGCCAATATTTCAGACATCTTCTCCCTCTCTCGTTGTCTCTCTCTCTCTGTTTCAAGCTCACACCACCAATTTGGGTAAACCCGTCCACGAACTCGCACCCATTTGGGTAACTTTGTTGAGCTCGCACCAGGAAAATCCCTAATTCGGCTGTTGCATTGGCTTGGTGGCAAGAAATCAGAAATTAGGGTTTCAAAGCTTGGGTGGTGGGTGGAATTCAAATCTTGAAGTTTGGGGAAACTGAGAAGTTAGGGATTCAAGCCATAGTTTGAGGTAATTTCAGTATTTTGTGTCTAATTTTGCATTGCATGGTAGACATGTTCTTGTACACCTTCTCCGTTTCTGACAAGCACCTTCTCCGTTTCTGAGAAGCACATTTCTAGGAAGAGTGTGTGCTTTCGGGTGTGGTGGTGGTGTGAAAAATCCAGGGTCTGTGATGACTTGGGGAGGTATTCACCTCTTGCAAGCAGGTGAGCCTGGTCGAATGGAGACTGCTACTGTGAACTGAATGTACAATTTCAACCATCTGCTTTTGGTGGTGGGTTCTGGTTTCAATTGAGTTCTTCATTAACTGGTCCTGTCTGAACATGAATTAATGACCTATATACTTACCTTTAGAAAACAATCACTGTGCTACTGAATACGATGGTTTCTGATTTGAGTTGCTTGATAGTGTTTCATTGTTTGTGAGGAATGACAAAGTTCATAAAAATCCTAAACTGTGTCTCATGAATTGTTAATGGTCATCTCGTTATGCACAACACTTGGGTAAAGTATTATACCATTGACTAACCGCCCATGTCCCATGTATGTATTTGCTATCACTTGAGCATGTAGCTTTCATTTAATTTCTAATTAGTTGCTGCATTGAATCGTATATTCTCCATTTGTTTCTTTGTTCTGTTGACAGCTCCATGGTCTTCCCCTGGTTTATTCTTGAAGAATGCCATTTGTTACTTGTCATGCCAGTTTATTGTTCAAGTAGTACTTCTTTATAATAGC